TACTCGGATATCTATCTTGTTCAGCAAGATTGTCAGTTCTTCAACAGACACATGAAGGAGATCATCCTTAATATCTTGGATATCTCCACTGAAGACTTCATCCTCGTTAAAAATAACGTCCCTTGCTCGCACGATCCTCCCTGTCGAAGGATTCCAAATCCTATAAACATTTGTTGAGTCATATCCAACGAGATAGCCTACCCATGCTCGCGGATTGAAGCGTTGAAGTCGATTTTTCTTGAGTTGATACTCCGATGTGAGGGCATATGCTTTACAGCCATATACCTTCAGGTGAGCAAGTTGAGGTTTCTGATCTTGTATGCAAATTCCATTTTGCAAAGCAACGTAAGTATGGAACCTATCGTATGGCGTTTTCCAGTTGTACATGAACTTTGGGGTACGGTTGTAAAGATAGATTGAGGCTCGATATATTTCTGACCATAAATCCGTAGGTAACTTTGCACCATTTCTCATGGCCCTAGCCTTATCCTTGATGACACCCCCTGAGCGCTCAGCGGCACCGTTTTGTCCTTGATTATTTGCCGTTGAGGGCTCGATAGTAACATGTTTGGTAATCAGCCACTCCTTTACCTCAGGTCGGTGTAAGAATATCTCATTATCCATCTCAATCTTGATCGGACTAACATCATGGTGCTTTTTCAGATATTCAAAGAACCATTTCAGAGTTTCTAAGATCTCCACGCTTTTGTGCGACGTCATATAAAAGTCCCAGATAAAACCGCTAAATCGATCGGTTATAAGCATCAATGTCTTTTCTCCATTCATTGAGCTTTTCTGAAAGTCATGAAAATCAATCGCTAGATGCACGCCAGGTCGTTCCACAATATTTCTTTCTTCTCGTCGTATGATTCGTCTGGCTTTTGCCCTTCCACAGGCTTCGCACTGTACAGTGGTAGGACCTTTGGATAGGCCAGTCACTCTTACACCTTTTGTCGTTGTGGCAAGGTGTTCGATAGCTTGGGGTCCAGGATGGCCAAGGCGAGCATGCCATCTCTTAGCGTCAGCTTTTCGTTCTTTTCTGACTGTCCACGAATTGAAGCGGTGCCGTCGTATCATGAAGGCCATTTTTACGAGAGGATGGTCGTTGGCGATATGTTCGAGTACAAATTGACCTTCCCTCTCTTTTATATATGCAAGGACTTGATTTTTCTCGTTCCGAAGGCAGTCGAAGCCTCTTCTGGTGTCCCACCAGATTCCATGCTTTCTTAGTTGTTGGAAAGACACCAGGTTTGCCACAAAGTCCTTGCAGTATGCCACGTTATAAAGGCGCAGAATTTGAAGTCTTCCACCAAGGCCGTGGATTTCGATATCCACTTCTCCATATCCTAAGACAGGTACTTGGTGGGTGCCTGCCCATAGGAAGTCTCCTGCTGTCGCTTTCCGGAAGTTCACAAACCTTTCTATCTCATTGAAAACGTGAATTGATGACCCTGAATCCAATAAAGCTGAATGTTTTAAAGGATATTCGTTAATTGACAGTGCAGCCAAATCCTTTTCCATGCGAATGTAGCAGGTCGATTTGCAGCTGCCTACTGCCGTCTTAAAGAGTCAATTCGAACTTGCTGTTTCTCCTTGGAAAGTCACCTCATTCTGAGTATTTTGAGTTATAGGTTCTCGTCGCTCTTGGGATCGACTTCTAGAGCGAGATCGTTCTTTCCTTTGAGAAGGAGCTTGTCCCTGTTCTTTGGTTAGTACACGTCTTACCTCTTTTGCTAATGGTGCATTGCTGTTGAGCCATCTATCGGCTCTTTGTTGAAGCCAAAGTCTTGGCTCAAACTCTTGAGGAGCCTTATAACCAAAAATATAGAAGCAGAAGTCAATAAAGTGCATGCCTCCGCATGCAGGGCAGGTCGGTTTAGGTCCACCTCTTTTATCTGGAGCAAATCTGCTGCGCTGTCCTCCTTCAAATGATTGTGATCGCGAACGTCGTCGACCACGCTCCACAGCTCTCCCTCGCTGCAAGCTTTCTTCATTTTCTTCTTCGCTGTCGTCGCTCTTACTCAGATGAGTGGCGAAAGAGCCTTTTATTATACGGGATTGTCGTTTTGTACGGAGTCGTGGGATGAGTCTCCGGAAGCCATTTGACAGATCCTTATAGGTAAGAGATTTGTCATCAATCTTTGGATCGATTGAGTGCTCAAAAGACGTTACCCACGCCTCATCTAGTGGTCGAATAGCTTCGAGAAACCTAGATGCCCAGTCCTCCGTATCTTGGGCAAAGGACATGGATTTCTTCTTTCCTTGAAGCATGATTTCTTCCCACTTGATCAACCAAGCCTCCGGATCTCGCGGAGTACCTCTGAAAGGTTTCATGTGCTGGTTATAGTCATCTCGTATACGTCGCTGGATTTCTCGCGATCCTTGGCCAACTTGCATCTTTAAGTTATTGTACGCTTCCTTCCAACTGTGTGTCACGTGCACACAGGTCTTAAGATAGCTGTGGCACACGGTCCGCTTCATCCATTCAAAGATTTTGTCGATGTCTCTACGCTGAACCTCCCACTCACTGAACTCCATTTTGTAGTTATTGAGACGTAGGTTGAAGTCATTTCTTGCCCTCTGCTCAGTGCGATCATCAGTTGTATCTTCAGTCGTGGTGGTTTGGGTTGATTGAGCAGAGTTCTGACGCGTTCCTTGAGCTGCACCTACACGGTTTTGTGTAGTGTTCTGGGATTCAGGTAGATAGTCTTGTATCTTTGGTCGAACAGGTTTCTTGATTGGTCTCTCAGTTCCCTGGAGAATAGGAAGAAGATCATTGGCTCTGGCCCGATTGAGAAGTTCGTTTTGCCAATCGTCCCAATCCTCTGGGGAATTGAGCTTATACTCGGTGGCAACGTTGGACAACATGTTGATATAGAGCCGGTAGGGGTAGTCAGACTCTTAATTGTCGGATTGGTCGGTTTATTCCAGGCCAATCCTGAAGAGGGTTTTACTAGGATCAAAGAAAAGAAGTGACTAGCAAGATTGTATGTATTGAGTTCTGTGTCTGTCTTTCAAGTCTTTAAAGCCGGGTCCTTTATAGACACCTTTGGCGGGGTGATTTGTGAGCTATCAGGAGGGGTAAATATTGGGCTGAAATCTAGGTGCCCAGATATATGCCTAAATCTGCCTTTTAGACCTGTAAGATTGAACAGTCGATCTTTCTGCCTCGTTTGAAAGCCGGATTATCTGACAGATATACGCGGCACGCACGTGCCGCGTCAGACTAACTATATCCGGTGCCAAAACGTGTAGGGTTTGATATTCACGTTCCGACACTCAGATAGCACATACCCATCACTAATGACTCTCCCTTCTCTTCTTGGGTGTTCGGAAGTCTTTCAATGAGCTCTCCAGACATTTCCGCCTGCAGGATCTGATCATAGTCTGCACGTCGATTGTAAACAACAGTTCGGTCGTGGTTTCCAAATTTTATCACGTCGCCAATGATCTGACCGGATTTCACATAGATCGAGATGGTCAAGATCTAGCTCAGTACTCAGCATCTAATTGCACTAGCAATGAGAGAATACGCTACTTACGTAGCTCTTTTTTAAGATGTCATCTTTTAGTAGACTGTTTAGGGTTTCTTGCACCGCGATTGCGATATCTACATATGTTAGCGTAAGATAGCTTGACGTCATGGTACTCACCAAGAGTCTCAACCTCCCAGACAAGATGCACTCTTCTCGTTCGAGATGCCAAGGTGTTGTAGCTATACACGAGCTACCATAAGGAACATCCGCATTAGACATAGACACAACGCAAAGGTATGAGGACTTTAAAAACTGGCGGGTGATAGAATTACCATTTCTGAACATCCTTCCAAAATTTAAAAAGTAAATATTTAGTCCTTGATTGATTGATTGATTGATTCATACACGCATCTAAGCCTAGTGGCCGGCGGCGCCTTCTAATTGGGCAGCGGCCATACTACCATACAAGAATTGAAGTGCCAAGACTCTCGGCTTGGCGCGGCTAAGTTAGCCGCACCACGCGAAAACCTTGACATGTATCCCTGGCTTCAAAACAACAACAATAGTAACGACAGAAATGCAACAGTACACCAAAACGCTAACAAATGAAATGTGTATATATGTATCTAAGGAGAGGAAAGGAGTGGAACGCAGACAAACTAACACTAGGAAATACTAACAACGAAGGATAAGCTAGGGCAGAAAAAGTGAATTAGTAGTAGTAGTAGTAGTAGTAGTAGTAGTAGTAGTAGTATTGATATACCCGCTGTAGCTGGCCGCTGACTAAGAGCCGCTATCCAGGTATGTGCCTAAGCCTGCAGGCACCAAGAGATCCGCGGCCCAGCCACGGGAGGTGCGCCATAGGGGTGCGCCACAGAGAATGGAAGCTGAGGAAACAAAAAACAAATGCAAACATGTCAAACAAACAAATAAATCAAATATCTTGGTCGGCTAGTGCGCGTACACCCCCGTCCATACGAATCCCTAGATTCTTTTGAAGTCCTCTAGACTGCACCAGTTCGCTTCAAATCCACATATCCTGTATCCCTCATATCCTCAAACTTCTATACCGTACGGATCGTACAGATATATCACGTTTTGACAACCCACAACCCACAACCCACAATCCATAAAATCTGCATATCTTACCCTTCGCAGATCCGTACCGTACGTCCCCTATATTGTCTCCCGTTGGCTAGCTCCGAATCACTTGATCCAAGGCTTATATTCATGTCAATCCTGATCCTTACTGATAACGACGTCGACCTAGAGTGTATGTCATCTATGTGCGTATTCATACATGTTCCCACGTCAGTGTCCTTGTCATTTGCAGGCTTCAATTAAGCCGCTATTTCTGCACTTTCATAGGTCCTTTCATCAAAACTCTCCCCCGGTCGAATAGAATGTGGAATATGAAGCGATCAAAGATTGTATGGGTTCGTTGTTGGAGGTTGCTGAGAGGCAGTGGCATCCTTGGAGGCGCGTCGAGGTGGCATGGTTCGATATCACGATGTTCGGAGATTTCCTAAACTAGAAACGAATTTGGTTTCAAATTTGACACGGAATCCTGTGTATTTTACACGTGTTTCGACGTTGTTTTGTGTGGAATGCAAAATACCTAGGAAATGTACGTGTGTCGACATTTTTGAAGAAATCCGTGCCAAGAGTCTCAAACATTTTGAAACCGGCTGATTGTACCGGACTGTTTATACAGATGATTAAAGTGTGTAATATTACCTGTTTCTCTAATACGAATCACGCGTATTTATATTTACTCGTAGCAGTGTCGTATATGTGTCTGAAATAGGTCTCACAGACTGTATCAGCATTGTGAGAATCAAGTATTTAACTAGCTTATTCACATCAAAGATCTGACCGATTACACTACAGCGCATCGTGCCATCAAGGTTTGAAGCAGGATCCAGGAGAGCTGTGGGCGGTCTTTGCAACGAGATGGTCTTCATTATTTACTGTACCTTCTACTTATTTTTGCCATTTGAATTCTAGATGATCGGGCCCGGGCTATAGCCCATCTGTACGGCACCACTACAGTATTATGGCTACCTCAGAACGTTGCGTTATTGTCGGATTAGTCGGTTTATTCTAGGCCAATACTGAAGAGTGTTTTACTAGGATCAAAGAAAAGAAGTGACTAGCAAGATTGTGTGTATTCAGTTCTGTCTCCCTCTATCCATCAGGTTTCAAAGCCGGGTCCTTTATAGACACCTTTGGCGGGGTGATTTGTGAGCTATCAGGAGGGGTAAATATTGGGCTGAAATCTAGGTGCCCAGATATATGCCTAAAGGTGCCTTTTAGACCTGTAAGATTGTACAGTCGATCTCTCTGCCTCGTTTGAAAGCCGGATTATCTGACAGCAGCAAGGAGAGGTCACGTATGTTGGAACACAATACGCTATCCCTAATTGGGAATCCATCATAATACTAACATGAAGAAATTTCGAGAACTAGATTCACATACTGACGAGATATAGACATCCAATCAGCTTTATATGCCTATGTCTAGAAGGTTCGACTGGACGTCATCTCATGATCTAGTTTGTACAGGACCTCACATATAAAAGAGGTCAACATTCCTGACAAGTTTTGTATTAGGGAGTGTGCATCAATACAGAGAAATTCTCAACTCTAAGTTCTTATTATTTGCCTTTATTGGTGACCTCACTCAGTCAAGATAGGCAATGTATGTATAGTTTGGCCGCAACGGGTCACCTGTCGTTGAGGTCTTACGCGCAAAGCGTATGACCACAACGTCAGAGAGGGCCCCGTCCGCGCTCCCTTGTGGGGAGGCAATTGTCTATATTGTAATGGCACTATGAATCTATGTACATAGGGAGGTGGGTGGGAAAAATCAAGTCTTGACTGCGTGAGAGATGACGAGCAACTTGCGGAGGGGAGCGGCTGACTCTCGTGAGGCAGTTGTAAAAAGGAAGAACCCCGCAGTACGCAGGACGTTAGGTGAAGACTAATCCGCAGTGCGATCGTCACATGAGGCAACCCCAATAAAACAATCTCATATATTCCGTATCCACCCTAGCGTAACTGAGCTCCAACATAGTAAGTCAACCCGCTCAGTGATCGCGCACTTCATTCTCTTTCTTCCTCTTCTCATGTTTTGTATTCTCGTCGAATAGCTCCTAGATTAGGCATAGCAATGGATTGTTATGAGATCTGGCTTGGCACCTTCACACCTATCTTATATCTGATTTACAACACGGATCTAATTAAGGATTGTGTGGATGTAGCCAATCACATAACAACAAGTGGATGAGTGAACGACATAGCCTTAATAACCACAGGTAATACAGAGATAGAAACAATAAGAAAGCTTCAAAAAGCTAGCAAGATCGCAGATCAATAGGCAGTATGACATGTCTCAGTGTTTAACACAAAGAAGTATCAACTAATTCACTTTATGAATCCATAAAGCATAACCAATCCTAAATTGCAGCCAATCCAGCTTTACAATAAAGCTAAAATAAAGCCCAAAGAAGCTGTCAAATATCTTAGCATCTAGCTTAATACAAAGCTAAGTTTTCACACACATTGTGATGAAGCCATTGCAAAAGCAGGCACCAGCCTAGAAGCTCTACATGGCTTATTAGGATCTACATGGGGGGTCGCACTAGGCTCTATAAGAAGAATCTATTAAGCAATTGTTATCCTATAGATGTTATATAGCACTGCAGCCTGGTTCTAACCAGACCTCATAAGCCAGAGGCAAATCATAAAACTGTACGTAAATTTACAACTATCCAAAAGCGCGCAGCGTGCCTGATCAGTGGTGCTTTTCGTACAATGGCTACGGAGGCCCTCAATATAGAGCTTCACCTAATACTAATCTAGTTGCAACTGGATCAACTTACAAAGGCTGCAGCCATCTGGATTCGCACAGGTCCTGTCTTTGCAATTCCTGACAGCCTAGTTAATTGACGCACCAGCGACGAACTCAAGCTTAGTAGATACACTCCCATGGAAGCTCATGCCTGGAAGAAGGCAGATGCTTATTGACTCCCCCTAGAACCTTGGCAGGGAAATAGGAGAGCTAATCTGCATACGTCCAGGCACCATGGCATAAGCCTTCAAAGGTTATGATTGATAAGCGAGAGAAGGCAATATCAGTATATAATGATATCACATACAAGAATGAGCATATCGCAATATACATGGACGGCAGTGGATATCAAGGCTATATTAGCATATCCATGGTCATTCCAACATTCAGAAAACAACGAATGGAGTGTATTGGTATAGAAGGCACCTCAACGGTATACGCAGCTGAGGTCTATGGGATCAAATTCGCGCTCGAAATGGCGCTTCAAATTGCAGATCAGGATATACAAACCAAGAAACTAGTTATTTTCTCAGATAGCTAAGCTGCGCTTAAAACCCTCATGAACCCGTGTATAGTCTCTGGTTAAATATACATACAGGGCCGTGTTAATTTACTAAGGAAGTGTACAGATAAGGACATCGATGTAACACTAAGGTGGATTCCAGGTCATAAGAGCGTTCCTAGAAATGAAGCTGCAGATAGGGCTGCAAAACGTGCGGCTCTAATAGACGCACGAAGGCAAATTGTACCTGGAGATCTATTAAGTAGAGAATAGATTATACTCACAGCAGCTGTAAAACGTAGAATATATCAATCAATTAAGGATGCCTGGGAGAGATGGTGGGACAAGTAAAAGACTAGGAAACCTACCAAAAAACTTGTCACTCAGCCTTCTAAGCACACACTCTAATATTAGACCTTTCTCTGCAAAGCAACATCGTCAATACTGATACAGCTGCGTACCAAACGAATCGGGCTGGCACACTATCTATAGCGAATCAACAGGCGAGAACAGCCATACTGCGCCTGTAGCCTATCTGGTCAATCAGTATGACATATCCTTATAGAATGCCCACTATATGAGAATAAACGCGGTCTCATGTAGTCATGAATTAAGGGATTCACTAGAGCCCAGAACCGAATACAGCGCATGAAGGAGCGGCAAGAGGAATTCGGATTACCTGCGCCAATAACATTAAAAACCGCTATACAGAAAACTTGTCAAGACGCTGCGAAGAAGGCAAATAGTCATCCCAAGCGGCCAGCACCTTCAGGAAGGAAATCTACTACGCGGCCTCCTTCTAAAACGCCATCTGCAAAGCAAGTACAGTTTGATATAATGTCTTTGAGAGACGCTCTAGATAGTTCAGTGGAAACTACACCTCTCCGCGCACAATCTAATGCACCAAGGGATGAGTCTATTATTGCATCCCTGGAAGCAGATACTAATGAGGAAACCGATGACAACGAAGATAGCGTTAGTGAGGATGATGATCTTCCCGTGGTGGTTCCAGATAGACCTCCAGGTTAGAATATGGCCAATTATTTGAACGGTAAATATAATGAAGAAAATCGCCTGCTACGTAATACGCCATTAAGCGAGTCAACACTATTCAATTCGCTAGATATCGAGATAGCAGCGACAAACCTTTATAACGCGAAGGAGGATTTCAAAAAACTCAGCGCTAAACAACGTATCAAGGTCACCGAGCACACTCTTCGTAAGGCCTGGAAGGATATTAGTATTGTCAACACATCTAATATCTAGGACAAATTTAATCATGAAATCAGCCAGCATGATTATTCGATTGGCATTGATCTGAGAGTCTATATTAATAAGTGAAAAGTTATTAGTCAAACACTCCATGATATGACTCGACGTTCATTTAATCTTGATGTTGTAGAAGATCAGTTCCGTGACCAGATTGTTAAATACACTGATGACAAACCTTTTACATTTGAAACCTGTACGGCATTTGTAAAATCAATGTCTGGTCATGGAAGACAATTAAGCCATCAATTTGATGATTTTTCTGTCACCGAGACCCTCAAAGTTTTAGATCTCATTGATAATAAACGAGAGGCTCATCCCGGTACAGCTTTATGCGTTCTTTTTGAGATCAAAGTGGCCTGCGAAGCGCTTATATCAAAGAAAAAAAAGACACCAATATCGACAGCTCAACAACCCCAGGATCCAATATCTATTCCAAGCTCGCCACCTGTACTGCCGACATAAACCCGTTCTACTCGTACCACTCAGTTATTGGAAGAGGCTGCAATCCGCGAAGTGAGACGAGACCGAATATTGACAGCTGGTAATTTCCAACGTCAGTTGATGCAGAAATATCAATGCAATGATAGAAACTGTATGAATTATAACAACTTTTGCTTCCCTGATCCTATGGACGATACTCAGCACTATAATATCCTCGCTACTCAGCACGAGCTTTGGGCCAATCGGATAGCTTCAGGTGGTGCAACTATCGAGAATCCACCAGATGAGTTGAAGTAGTATTGGAAGAAAAAGCAAGATTTGTGTCGGAACGTGAATATCAAACCCTACGCGTTTCGGCACCGGACTACTTAGTCTCACGTGGCACGTGCGTGCCGCGTGTATATCTAACTAGCTATCCCCCGTTCCCCCTCGTTCTTACACTGACCGGACCGTCACAAGCACCCCACAGATAGACGAATTCCCTACAATTGTTTATATCAAACAGTCAGAGGCCCAAACTCCTCACCCCTCTCTACCACCTAGCCACCAGAAGTGCGGCCTTTGACGCGTCTCAACGCGTCCGGCAACACTATGGCGCGTAAAGGCCCTGGTACAGATGGCCCTCTACAGACAGCCCTACTGGAATCCACGTCCGCAGCCACGACAAGAGCTTCTGAAGGACAGAAGATCTTCAGCCCTATAGCTGCATTCCTCGATAAACACCGCAGCCAAACCACTGGCCTGGCCCCTCACCTACTGAGAGCCCTCACCGCTCTAAGCGATGACCTCGCCTCAGTAGCCCAACGACATTTTAGCGCCTATATCAGCGGTATCTCGACGACCTCC